GCAAAGACAGTATTTGGAGAAACAAAAAGAGAAATAAGGCTTGATGATTTGAGATTGAAATAAATATAAAAAGAAAAAACCGAACTTATAATACCCTTCACAATTACAAAAGCTTCCTCACAAAAACTTTGAACGTTCGGGTTGTATGGCAGCTATATGCTATAGTGATACGATTTGAACAATTTTTAAGGAGCTTGCATAGTTGAGTTAGATAATAATTCATGGTTAATTTCATGAAGATATCTCGTCAACTAAAAAGGTTTTTCATACAAGCACTTGACACCGATTGTTCAGTTTGTATGGCAGCTATACGCAATAGTAGTCCAATAACGGCCGTTTCGATAAATGAGCGACTGCTTGGTAAGAAAAGAATGCGTGCAAAATTTTAGAACGATATCTCAAAAACTGAGGCACCAGTTCACATATATATATAGCCCATTTCTTACAACCAACATCGCAGACCTTGGCTGCGGCAAATTTTGCGTAGAAATTTCGAAAGACACAAAAACTCAATTAAAATCTGAATTGCAATAAATTATTATGGAGCAAAGCGCTAAAAGTTGGTAGCTTAAAGTCAAAGAACTGCCGTTACTGACTTCCAACGCAAGCACGCTAGTCATTTGTGGCAAGCTGCATTGACATACTGTCACTTAAGTACGCAAAAAATAAATGAAACAACAAAAAACAAAAACAGATAACAAGAGTGCAAAGAGAGGAAGCAGTAAAATTGGCTAACAAAGCACTTAAAGTATGCGAAAGTAAAAAAGCCGAAATGCATTGTGGAAGCGGTTAATGAACGCGCAGCGCTTCGAAGCCAATAACAATAAGGTAAAGAAAGAACCAGACCACTTTCAAACACTAGAGAATAATGACGGCCCATTAACGATGCACGCCTTGATATGCGGCGCGTCGCGCGTCTCTTCATACGCGACAGCCAAAGGAGCTGCCACATCAGGCCAAACAACAACAACATATGAGTTGGCACAGACGCCGAGTTTTCGGCAAAAAGAAAGTAAAAACACGATAGCTACATAAATGAGATCAAGCGAAGTAAAGTGCTAGTGGCACAGCCTTTAATGCAAAAACAACAGACAAACGACAGCGCGCAGGTAGCAAACAGCAATTTTTCAATACAAAAACAACAAACGTCGCACACAACGTCATATCCACCATGCGCGTTTATAAATCCTGCTGATGTGGCATATCAAAAGCGTTGAATGATCGCGTCGTGCAGCCATCAGTGCACGTCGAATGCCAATCGCCGCCGCCGTAGCTGTTGATTTTGCCATTCACCGCCGCACCAAATTGCTGTGCCAAAGTTGTAATGCAACAAAAAACAAAATATCAATAATAACTACCATACGACTGGCCGTAAAAAGTAGTATGCGCTCTTGCGCAGCTTCTACACACTTCGCATTTATTATGTCACTCATCCTGCCACATGTGCTTTGATCGAGTGGAGCGCACCATTTTAAAAGGAATTTTGCCTTTACGTACACCGCCGTCGCGCAACCGTTGCCAACAATAAGCGCTTGCGTCAACGCAGTCTCATCAAAGCTGTGCGCTTAGTGCGAGTGATGGCGTGCAAAGCCGTTTTTGCGTGGCTGCAGGGCGCGCAAACTACGGCTTGGCTACCTGCCGCAGTTGGTTCAACATAGGGACAGCCGAGCCAAATTGCGAGCTTGACATCATCACAATGTCTGATGTGGAGCGCACAACACAACGCCATGTATCGTATTGTAGCTACACAATGATCATATATGTAGATATGTATGTATGTATGTGCTTAGTATGGCTCATAATATACAACTCTGCGCACTGTGCTAAATCTGCATACAATCGCCGATATCCAAACCGATCTTATCCCTACGTTGCTATCCGTGCAAACATATTCCGGTTGCCTTGGCGGCGATGCATATCTCGTTGCGCATGCATCCCTGGGGCGTTGATGTGTTGAAGTGCTCACACAAGCGTCATTCTATCAGCCGCCACATATGTGTATTCACTTTTATGACTATGACTGTAGCGTTTCTTGTCTTCAAAAAATATTACCACCGATACACAACACTTGTAGCGCTTAGAAAAAACGGCGTGATTATCGCCGAACTTTTGAATTGTTCTTCAACAGCTTCCTAAAAATGTTCTAACTAATTTCGAACTTTAAGAACCTACTTCCGGTTTCAATTTTTTAACTGGGTGTTTTCAGATCTTTATCTACTTATGCCAAATCTGCTTTGTTATCTTGCAGCGTGTTATTGATTTTCATTTGCTCTGAACTATTCATATAAAGCTATGAACGTCCCAACGGCCATGGTATTAACTCCGCCTCGGATTCGTCTAAGGAAGCCCCTAGCGTTGGCAACTCGTCTGCCTTTTCGTTGTTGAAAATGTTGCGGGTACCCAAATTATGGATGAGTCGAGTTTAGCTACCAGTGAGCTTAAAGCCTTCCTTGAAATCTAACCTTGAAAGGATATAGTCTGTTTTACTTAGGTTAAGCTGGTTCAGGATGACGCTATGTCCATATTATTTCCGGTTCCAAGCATCTAATTCCTTTATTATGAAAGCAGAACCTGCTGCTACGTTCCGAGTGAACGCATCTATGAGCAGTTGATGCAGTATCATATTAAGCGCCTTGGTCGGATATGACTTTATAGCCCCGGTAACATCCGCACAGGCTGCTTTTTGTATACTATATATACACATGACTATCTTTGGTTTAAGGCTCATTTCCTGCTAAGTAATCATTTGCAGGTTGCAGGTTTTCAATGTTAATTTTTCAAACCAGTTTAGCATCGATTTCAACCGCTAGGTCTTTGTACCACTGAATGAGCGAAGATTGAATTGAGGTATTTTTGTTTTACTCGTGAGAAGCATCAGCTCCGTTTTACTAGGGTTAACACCTACTCCGTTGTTCGCGGCCCATAGATGTAACCTTCGTAGGACTCTTTCCACAAGCTCACTGATTGTGGAAGGAAACATTCCTGATAACATCAACACTATATCGTCTGGCTATGCTATTGCTTTCACTCCGCCTCCACTGAGTTGAAGTAGTATTAAATTTAGCGCCACGACACATAAAAGCGTGGAAAAACACATCCTTGAGGAGTGTCTCTGCTTACGTAGCTTGTACGTGTCGCAGCGCCATTTCGTCTATGGGACCAAGTGACAGAGATTCAATAATTCTGCTTATTTCCACATTGTTGAAGGCGCTTTCCACGTCAATAAAGACCGCCATTGTATGGTATAGTGTTTGTGATGAAGTGATTACTCAGGATTTCTCTTAAGTGTATATCCATTAGCCTTTCTAAAACCTGCAGCCGAAAGAAGGTGAGGCTTATAAGTTAGGTCTAAAATCTTTGGCGTCATCATGTGTTCTTCCACCTGGTTTTGGGAGGAATACCACTTTGATTCTATTCCAACTGATTGGGATGTAAAATAGTTGGATACTGGCCTCATATATATATTCTAGACTTGGAACCATAGGTTCTTTTAGCTTCTGCATCATTATGGGAGTTATCTCGTCTGGACCTGCCGCTTTAAATAGCATGAATAAGGAAATAATACAAGTAGATTTAAATAAATTTTATAACGACTATAAATGTCTCTAATACGATTAAGCAAATGTAGGTTTACAAAAGTCTGGTGATTTGCCGGCGAAAGTTAAACGAATTTTGTTAACTCGAACACAAGCGGAATTTAAACAAAATGTGGCAACTAAACTGTTGCTCTATTAATAAAGACAAAGTGCATTTATTTGCGTGTTAGAAAGCACCCTTATAAGAGGCGAGTGGTGGAGAGTGCAAGTTTAACTTGCATCCTAACTTTAGTGGCTTTACTATATGCATTGGCCTTGCGCTTTGTGTTGCAAGTTGTGTTTGTGTTAGTTTGCTTCTTTTAAGGTTACCTGCTGTGCGCGCTTGGAATCTCATTTAACCTGTTGCAACAGCGCAAGATATTTATTGCCCAAGCTATTACTGCAGGACCAATCGCTAAGCGTTGCCGGTTCTACAGGCTCCTTAGGTAAGCAGCTACAGCGGCGTTAAATATTGAAAAGCGAATGACTGCCACAAACTTTAATCCTCATTTGTCCAAGCCATACGCTTCGCAACGCGGCATCAATGGTTTGTCATTTGTGACAATTGGAATGCTGTATATGGCAGCTGGTGGCTGGCAGACGAGCTGCGTATGTTCGGACTTTGATTTATGCGCTTGCAACAAGTTCGTTTGGTGGAGTAAAAACTAAAATGCAGTTTGTGTACGTTTGTCATGGCTGCATACATATTAGGGTGGAGCGACAAAAATATTTTTTTTTTGTGCTAAGTCTGAGGATCAAATTTGTAGATTATAAAATAAGAAAATTTTTGGACAAAAAAAAAATTTTTACATCTAGGGGCGGCCTCTCTATTTTAAAGTAAAGTTTCGAGTTAAAATTTTTATATTACAAAATTTTTTTGATAAGTTTTCTAGAAGCTGTGGAGAGTCCTCTTTTTGGGAAATTAAAAGTTATTAGCTAAAAAAAAAATTTTGTGGTCATTATTGGAGTTCTAAAAAAAGTCTTAAACGACAACATGCTTTCCTTAAGCGTTAAAATAAATTTTGAGTCAAAAACCGCCAAATTCGGTAATTTTTATATAAATTTGAAGTTTTTTAAAACAAAAAAAAAATTTGTTGGCCATAAAATATTTTACCTCGATATTGAAAAAAGTCTAGATATTAAAAAAAAATATTGTTTTTCCAAAAATTTTCTTGTTTTATAATCTACAAATTTTACCCTCAGGCTAAGCAAAAAAAAAACACTTTTTTCGCTCCACCCTAATACACATGGTACATAACTACTCTACTTTTGTAGCTGCAACAGCAAGTGCATTGCTCCTCCATTCGTGGACGTTGTAGTGTTGTTTAATTATTTATAAGGCACTTCCTCTATTAATTCATTCAACAATTCATTTGTATTCATTGAAGCTCTAAAACAACGTAGTTTTTCTTTCTTTTATTTCAGCCCTATACTGGCAACAGCCGGTTTTAGAACACCACTTACAGGACTTTTTTATATAAGTTTGTCGTTGGATCATGGCGCATCACGCTACATTCTCAGCTGCTGCAACAATAGTATCTGCGTTTTGGCAGCTGTCCTTCTTGTTGACTTTACTTATATGCAGTCAACTCAAGCTAAGCGCGGCGTCACAATCCTCGTCACTGGGTGTACACATTGTGCGTTCACCTGAATCAGCAGTGGCGCCCAAAGGTGATGAGGTTGTCTTTGAGTGCGAATTGAATTTGGCTCCCGATCGTTTGGAATGGCGTTTCCGGCACACGAGCGCACGCGCCACAGACGCTATGAACTACAATTATCTACATGGCGGCGAGGTCGGTATACTTGGCCTTTTCTTAACCTAAACTTTAGCTATGACTTTATACTACTCTCTTATAGAATGGCCCCAATATTTCAAATGAAAATCTGACATCACGCTTGCGTGTATTTGTTACGTCCGAAACTTTGGGCGATTACCAATGTGTCGCGTGGGTCGGTTCGGCCGCAATTGCTTCCACGCCCGCACGGCTGACACTTGTCTCCATAAGCATCGATAACTCGAACGGTTATAGTCGCAATGCAATACGCTGGAGCGTAGCGCCGAAGAATTGCATATTAATACGTTGCGGCACAGTGAGCTCGAATCCGCCAGCGGTGTGGAGCTTCTTCCGCAACGGCGAGAAAGTGCCACAGACCGAGGTGTTGCCCTCAGCAAATGGTGCGCTCATACTTAACTCAGTGTCATCAAAAGATTCCGGTAACTACACTTGCTCGGCAATGAACGCCATTACCGGCGTGGAGTTGCGACTGCCACAACGCATAGACTTGCGCGTCGATTATATTGATCGCACGCCGCCTTACTTTCTTAACTTGCCAGTGTCACAAGTGATGGCGCGTCCGGGCGAAACCGCCGTACTCGAATGCCCAGGTGTTGGCTCGCCACCGCCGGAAGCCGTTTGGAGCAGTCCGAATGTAATCAATATCTACAACAATCGTACAAAAGTGTTACCGTACGGTCTGCAGATCGCTGATGTGTTGCCCGAGGATCAAGGCTCCTATGTGTGTCGCTTAGATAACGGTATTGCGCCTGCTTTGGTGCAAATTATAAAATTTATTGTCTTGGAAGCGCCACAAATACTGCGTGGTCCAGCAAAGACACGTACTAATGAAGGCGATCAACTGGAGTTAGAGTGCTCGGCCGCCGGCAATCCTTTCCCCCAAATCTATTGGTTAATTAATGGTGAAGACACTGCTTTGGATAATGAGACCTTTCATGAAGATCGTCGTTTGGTTATACGGCATGTGCAGAAGCGCCATGCGGGCATCGTGCAGTGTTTCGCAAAAAACGAAGTGGGCGAGGTAAATGCGACAGCTCACGAATTTGTTGGAAACACGTAAACACTCTAATTTATTGCAGGTCAGCGACGGCAGCTACTTGGAAGTGAACCCGAAGCAAATACAGGGCGAAGACTCAGCGCCGCTAGGCTCCGTGCCAATACGCATGCCTTACGAGCATAACGGCAACAAGAATAAGGGCAAACGGAAACACATGAAAATACGTGAGTACAAATCTCAACTCTTCTCAGCTCTAGCAAGTTGGGAAGGGGAAAGTTATTTAAGTGCATAAAACTTATTCACGCTGAGATGAATGTCAGTATCCGCTTTATTAGCTGCAATATTTCGAGATAAATAACTTATTATATACAATTCGATTTATTTTCGTCGCTACGACGCTTTACAGTTAAATTAAATTACATTTCTTTACGAACAACTCAGCAATACTTTCGCGCACAAGTTAATTCCATGCAGATTTATACCAAAATGTAACAATTTCAATTTGTTTTTGCATAATTTTTAGAAAACTAGTATTTGTTTAAATGTGTTTGTGAGTTTAAAATTTTATTTCTAGTTGCAAAGCAAAACTTAACCAATAACTTATTAGATAACCAATAATGCATAATCAATTCTCTCTCTCCTCCCCTCCACGCCCACAAATTGCTGTGACCAACTGGCCACGTCCTATACTTGCACTGAGCTGGGGCTCTTGCGCAGCAGCTTCTCTTCTTCTTGCAAAATGCGTATCTTCATCTTTAGCTCTTCCACTTGTAGACGATGCACTTCACGCAAATGCTTCAAATCTTCCTGCGCGCGACTTAGCTCTATTTTCTTCTTTTCCAAAGCGACTTGCGTCTCCTTGTAGCGCAGCTCGGCCTCCTTCAGCCGGAAGTACTGCACTTTCTCCTCGAACGACTCCACTGTGATGGTGGTGTTACCCGGCGTCGTGGCTGCTACAGCGGCATTGCTTACAGTAACAGTTGGCACGACAGCTGCAGGCGCTGGTGCCGTGGCCACGGGCAGCGCGTGCAGTGTGGCGCAAGTGAATGTCGGCGTTGCAGTCGCGAACTGTGCGTTCGCTGGCGTTTGCAGTTGCATTTTCATTTGATGCTGCTGTTGTTGCTGTTGATGTTGTTGCTGCTGCTGCTGTGCCGCAACAGCGAGCTGGTGCTGGGCCAGCTGCTGCTGCTGCAACTGCTGCGCCTGGTATTGCGCAAGTGTTATTTGCTGCGGCTTGATCTCGCTGATGATCTGCTGATTGTAGGCCGTTGCGGGCATGGCGGTGATTGTGTGTTGCTGCGGCTGGTGCTGGCTGGGTATGGTGATGCGCGTTGGCGATGGTATGGTGATATGCGTGGCTGTACGAGCAAAAAAATGTAAAGCGATTAGACAACATTGAAGGTTGCTACGTTATTGTTAACTTACTGTTCGAATCAACGGGATGTTTTATCTGCAGAATGATGTCTTCGCGTGGGCGCGTTGTCTTGAATTGCAGCAAATCGTTTAGTGTTAGCTTTTCGGCGCTGATTTGATCCACCGATATCTGTTGTGTCTGTATGGTTTGTTGTTGTTGTTGGTGCTGCTGCTGCTGTTGTTGTTGTACATGCTGCTGCAGCACCTGTTGCTGATGCTGGTGCTGCTGTTGCAGTTGTTGCTGCTGCTGCTGCAGCGGATCAATAGGCTCCTGCTCTATCTGTCCCACACCGTCACTAGTATCCATCTCGATCTCTTCGAAAGCCTCATTCTGACTGCCATGCTCATCGGGATCTATATTGGTGACCTGGAAATCGGGCTCATCCTTTATCTCATGATTTACCACTTCGGCGCGATCTGCCGAATCGATGCTTGCTTGTGAGCCGTTTGCGTCCTTCTGACCGTTCGGACGGAAGGGGTACTGTTTGCGTAGTCTAAAAGCAACAACAACGTAATTAAAACAATTTAAAAGTTAGCACTCGTTGAATAAATAAACAAATAACTTCACTCACGCCACCAACCACACACACACACACGCATACAGGCAAACTAAACTCGCATTACAGCTATTCAACCCCGTAAATGAGCTGCTCAAGGCAAGAGCGCATATGACTGGTTTGCGGAGTGGAGTGCCGCGGCTATTTCATACACGAAAATCTACTAGCGCATACGTTATTTTCTTACACCGATTTTTTCACATTTGAATTAGAAGAAAGCCTGTCACTTTTTGAGATACTTTATAGCTTTGAGATATAACATGCCTTTCTTGAGATATTCTGCCGCTTGTCGTTTGCCGCCATTTTTAATTGCACTCGAAAGACGAGTAGCTGCCGCACGCCGATGAATGAGGGCATGAGCGAATGCCTGGTCGCGTGAATTGACAGAGCGCAGCACAGCGCTCAGATACCTACACCATGACTCGTCGATAGACGCTTTTGTTGTTGTCAGCTCTTTTACGTGCGCACATTTGGCTCGATTATGCTTTGTGCGCGACTTTTCGCTCGACTTGTTTGCGTTTTGAGGTAAATTTAATGCTTGCTGGGGTTTTGAGTCCATCGGACCCACTAAATCAAAAGCATTTGTTTGTTATGAGTTGGAATGCGGCTTTCAATGAGCTGCTTAACGACACATGTTTCAATACACAAACACACACACACAGAGGCAGCGACACAAACTCAACTGCTAATGCAACGTTGGCGGGAGGCATGCATTGCTGAGTCGCCCGCCGAGTGGCCTGCATTTGCGTGTAACAGGTGCACGAATTAGAGCAGCTGCTGGCCACGGGTTAGCGACGGCTACGTGCATACATACGTGTGGAAGCCATACGAATAAGATCTTCTGGCTTGGCATCTTTTACTCACCTTGCATTTAGCCAGAATTTTTGTATTTGTTTCAGGTTTCGCATAGCGCTAACACCCGGATGTGTATTGAATTCGTGCACGATTTTTTCCCAGGCATCGCGCACCGAGTATTTGGAACGTTGCTTTTTTCTGAATTTAATATCGATGACCTCTTCGTGCTCATGGAACAGGCTATAGAGTATCTCCTTCTCCTCCTGCGTGAAACGTGGCGTTAAAGTTATTTGGCCCGCCTTGCCTCCTGTGCCGCTGGCACCCGCACTGCCTGTGGACGTATTGGCGGCATTGTGTTCCTCTGCGCCGTTGGCTGTGGTTGTAACCACAGTTACGGTGCCATCACCGCCACCACCCACCGCCACGCCAGTGGACATCTGACGCGATTTTCTCGCTATGTTGACGAAGAAAGTCTACAATCCAACAGTGAGAATAACTGATTCGTAGGCAACCAGCTATGCCAGTTGTTTTTGTAATTTCGTAGTGCGCACAGCTCCACTCGAAACTGCGTTAGCTCAAAGAAATTGGCGTTTAACGAGATGAATTGCTTTTGACTCCACCGAAAATTAGCTATGAAAATCAGAAATTGTTCTCAATTGTATACTTTTTAATAGCACTCTAATGTGGTTGTTGTTGCTACACTACACTTAAGTGGACAGCTGCGGGCGGCCCTGAGTGCTTTCGCACAATTAATATTCAACTCTTTGATGTATTTTGTTGTTTTTGCTTTTATATGCACAACACCGCACAAAATGTCTTGAGGAATTCAATAATTTTCCAGAATTCTTTTCACAAATAGAGAAAATCACTTGGTAAAGCGCCGTCACACACTCCAGGTAAATCCACTCACAACGAGCTACAGAAAACGAGTGCGAGTGGCGAGTGACGAGTGATAGCTTGTCGGCCATGTTTTGAGTTTGTTTCTGCTTTGCAGCGCTGCCAATGCGGCCTAATTCTAAAAATTGATTTGTTGTATGAATATAAGTTTGAGTGTGAAGGCAGTGGTCGTAGTGGTAGGTAACTGTAAAAATAATGCACACATTAAAATTTATATTTTCTCAGTCGCAATTTATTTAACTGAAAATGTAGTTTAGCGCATGTTTATGTTATTATTATAATTTTTTATGTGGTAACGCTTGGCGCAACTGTTGCGCCATCTTACGGCGAGAAGCTACGACTTGCGGATAGGTTTTGAATTACTCATAGGCACTCAAACTGTTAGACTAGTTTTCAAACTTTGCTTTTTTATCCAAATCACAATCGGCAGGGCGGTTGTTAGGCTCGGATAACCACAGCATTAACGCTTCACTATTGTTGTTGTGTAATTTTAAATGGCTTAGATTATAAACTATTGACATTGTCGCTTTTTAAAAGTTGAAAAAATTTTAAGAACTTTTACTCGTACGCTGGCGCCGCGCCATCTTCCTCCATGCCTTCCAAGGGATTCTTTTCCACCGCGTCAGGGTAGAATTTTTTCAAAATCTTATGTATTTCTTGCATGAGCGACTCGTACTCCGGTGGGAATTTGTCACGCCTTGGTGGGCCTTTTTCAATGCCAGACCACAGCTGATGCACGGAGGTGCGCGCGTTCTGCGAAAATCCAATCTCGAAGGCACCCTCTCTTGGCGGCACTTTGCCGTTATGATTCCGTACCAACTGTATGATGCGATTTGGCGCTTCTTTGGCTACATAAGCGGCGAATTCCTCGGCTTTTGTCGTGAATATCGGGCACTCTAACGTGTGCTCGATGTAGATCATTGAACGGTTCTTGTCGAAGTTAGCGTCGGCCGCCCAATCGATTTCGCGCTGCTTCTTCGACTTCTTGCCTCTTGGTGCCATTGGAGTAAATAATGAGATTTGTAAAACTAAAGATTTGGCAGTGTTTCTACGAAAATTGTTTTGTAAAACTTATATTCTTTTAAAAATTTCAAAAGAGAAGTGTATTTCTCTTGAAATATGTATCTATATTTTATAGAACAAAAAAAAAACGATAATTCATAAAGTACGTATACTCTTTGCAGCGAACATGATACCCCCCTCACGTCCCAACGTGACCCGTTTATCCGACGATTCGGTAATGTTGCGCTGGTATGTGCCAAAGAACGAGGGTCTGCCCATACAGTTTTTCAAGGTGCAGTATCGCATGCTCGGTGACTCGAGCCGCAAAATACCGCGTGAAAATTGGCAGACCACAAACGAAGACATACCATACGGCAACGGCGACCGTGTTTTTGAAGGCGGGAAGAATTTCACCTCATCGGTTTCTGGCTTGAAACCGGACCGCTTCTATCGCTTCCGCATTATCGCCGTCTACTCGAACAACGACAACAAAGAGGGCAACACTTCAGCGAAGTTCTTTTTGCAAAGTAGCGAAGCTTTGGGCCCCACTAAAGCCACACTGCCCGCACCAGAGCTATTGCGCGTGGAACCGCTTTCTGAGACGGCAGTTATGATACATTGGACGCTGCCGGCGAATCCTACAAACGTGCCGGATGGTTTTTACGCCTACTACCGGCTCGCCTCTTCAGCGGGCGAGTACCTCAAAGCGACTGTAGACGGTCAACATTCAAGAAAATTTAAAATCGACATGTTGGAAGCGGGTACCGCCTACGAGTTCAAGCTACAGTCCTTCAATGCGCTGGCGGCGTCTGAGTTCAGCGCCATATTGCAGGGCAAGACGAAGAGTAAGTGGTCAAAGCAACGTATTTCATTTAAAGATATTTTAAATATGTGTATTTTTATCATAGAACTGGCCACCACACCAGCGCCTGTGCCGCCAGTGACGCCCGCAAAAGCCAAGGAGCACGACAAGCCCAAGTATCCGATAGTGGCGGGTATCGCCGGCTGCGGTATTCTGCTCATCGTGGCCATAGTCGCTGCCTTTCTGTGCATGAAGCGACGCAATCCGGCGCCACCAGATGGTAAGTTTAAACTTTAACCGTTAATGCGACAAATTAACGGCTGTATGCAACGTTGCTTTATTCCAGATGAAGACAAACCACAGCTGGATCACATACAAGCCGATTTCGTGACACCCTCAGTGCTGGGCGTGGCGACACATCACAAGTCCGGACATCGTCTCAACGGCGTCATACCGCGCATGAATATTACGCCCAATCCGCTGGCGCAGGAAGCCGACAAGGTATGTAGAGGCACGCCAAGCACTTGTATATATTGAAAAATGAGCCATGGTTTGCCTTGCCACAGTTAAACAGTCGCACTTTTATCCACGACTACCGTATTATTCAATAACTTACTGCTTTACTACGTATACGAGTTGTCGATATGTAAAATATGTTTCTTTTCGTGCTCCATATTTTAATTTTTTACAAAATTCTCTGGACAAAATTTTTGCTTGTACTTTATAGTCATTTCTAGTGGGGTTGTATGTATGTCTTTCAACAGCTGGTGGTGCCTCGACTATGTAACTACTTAAATACTTAAATCGTATATATCTCGACTACTTCAGCCTTTCCAGCAACTCTTCTGTAAACACAAAAAAAAAAACAAAAAAAAGTTGAAAACGAAATCACGCACATCATTTGGCATTTACGATCTTTTGTATAAAGTCTATTGCTATAACCTATAATTATATTTTGTACATACGACTTTTATTGTATATAAACCTCTACTGTATATTAGCTTTATGTATTTATGTATATATTTAACTGACTATTTGAACTTTACTACATTTTCTGTACATTTATTCCACAACAATCCCAGCAGATCTATGTAGAGTTAGGAAAAGCCTAGCCTAATATATAACAATCTAGTTTTAAGTAGACCTAGTTGAGTTTATCAAATCATTTTGAGCTTAGCACAATTTTAACAGTAACATTTAACAGAACTTTAACAGTAAATGTTACATGCATTAGTTGCAGAAGCGTGTTTGAGAGAAATTGCTTTGAAGGCAATGCTTTTTAAAGAATTTTCTGTGTCTCCCATCTGTTATGATTTCTGACTCTTGGATTACAACGAAATTAAAAAAATTGGTGATATGTCTCTTAAAGTTATCCTAAAAATAAAAAGTGATGCCAACTTCATGTTGATTCCAAACGCTTATAAATGCTGACAATTTTACTATTGCCTACCTTTAGGCGACTGTTCTTTAATATTTTTCAGTTATCACACTTTACGTCAATGTTTTATATTCTAAAATGCTGCATTGCAAAAAATTCACCTGGAGACAATAAATTTTCTTGAATTAAATTTTAGATTTGATATTTTTAAATTTATTAGCTTTGAAAGCTCCGCTTTTCTGCGCACTAACTTTGGTACAGCACCATTTCTATATAGAAGCCTATTCAAAAGCACGCACCGCATATTCCTTACTCTTCAAACTAATTTTCTTTTCTTGGACTCTATGCTACCTCGCCTTGTGCCATTCCTCCGCTTGTACCACTCCATTGCACCCATCCCCACATTTGCATAGTTATGTATTTAAGTATTACTAGTGCGACTCTAAGGCATTTGCTGCTACTAGCTTAGAAATATCAGCGTGAACTGTTCTAGAATCGCAACAACGTGATGGAGCTGCGCTTCCTGCCCAACAGCAACAGCAGCCATGCGGCAAGCACCAACAATTCAGCCAGTGCCAGCAATCTAAACACCAGCAGCAGCCAGAGTTTACAGCAGCAACAAACTGCCGTCACCAATGCAGACTCAGCCGAGCCATATACACTGCCACCGCGTTCCTCTTCTTCCTGTGAAACGCTCGAAGCCAGTGAGGGCATCTTCAATGCAATCGACGCCACTTCGCCTCTGTCAAAGCCGTTACCGCCGCTGCCGCAGCAGAAGCCACATACACACCACAACCAACAGCCTCAGCAGCACCACCAGCAGTCGCATACAACCCTACCGAAAATGACCAGTAATAAAGCACAAGCAGCCAGCGCGCCAAACGCAGTAATAACAAATGCAAATCATGCCACTGCTCACTACAACCACAACACCAATGCCATGCATTTGCACACGAAATCGAACTCGTCTCATTCATCCACCTCATCCTTTCAATCTTTACATAATTCACAGGCACACCTAGGCTCCCATCAGGGCCTACACCATGCGCAGCCATACCACCCACCGCCGCCCGGCACGCCCACACTAATGCACAAACGCGGCGACTACATGACGCATCATCATCATCATGCCAACGCATTGGCTGCCGGCCAACATCCGCCGCCGGTGCCACCACACCAGAACAACAACCATAGCGGCCATCACAACGCGCACCATTTGTACCAGCAACACCAGCAGCAGCATGCGCAGGCGCACGCGCCGCAAACGCCCTCCATGGAGCAACAGCGCCGCACGCTGGAGCGCAGCGCGCGCAATCTGCACTACGCGGCGACCGCAGTGCCGGCGAATGCGACGCAGCCACACGACGCGGCCATGAACATCGATGGCCTGCCCACGCGCATACCGTCGCTGCGCCGCACACGACGCTCCTCCGGTAACACCAACAATAACAACGGCGGCGTAGGCATACCCATCGTGCCGGGCAGTCCGCGCGTGCAGCGCTCGCCGATGCCGGCGCGCGCCATGATGAAGCGCGGTCGGCTGGGCAGTCACAACGACAACATGTCCTCGGGCAGTTTGAACAGTATTGAGGTGTAGGCGGTAAACAGGGATTGGGGTTGCGAGCACTTCGCATAAGTAATATTAAGCATTAGTATGATAGGGGATGCTAAATAGTATGCAACTATTTAGATACAAACATAGTTCTAGGGGGTACAACGGTACTTCAGTGAGTATTTTTTAAACTTAAAATTCGTCATATAACTAAGAATAAGTCAACACAAGTGATGTGCCGCGCGGGAAGAGTCCTAGCAGATAGAAGTTAAAGCGTAAAAGCGAACCTGGAGTTTGGAAAATATTTACTGAATTTAAATATAGTTTTACTACGTGGCTTAAAGCGCGGTCTTCTACCGCCATATTTTGCGTACTCTGCTTCAAGTGTTAGTGTTACAAACTTAATTGACTTAAATTGTAAATATTTATTGCTGGAACTTCGTGAGACTCTGCTAGACCAGTCTAGAAAACTTCTAGATTTAAGCAACAATGTATGGCATAGCTGTAAGTAAAATCTCGAATTTGCAAGTAAGTAACTCGAAAAACTCGACTATCTGCATACTTTTAGGCTAAGTTCCTTATAGTGGCTTGTTATGTAACACTTAGTAATAGCATATAAAGACTTAACGGCACTAACTCCAATGACAATTGTAGTTATATTAGTTTTGAATACGAAATGACATCCACTAGTAATATAACCAACTTAACCTAACTAATTAGTTTGGCGTTAACTCCGTCCTGCAGAGCTAACAAGTAGTAAGATAAAATATATATAAAAAAATTAATTAAAAGACTTAGAAAACGCTAATTGTGCGTCTAGCAGCTTGAAATTTGTTTAATAAAATGTGTTTTTGAAAAAGTGCCTAAAAATATGCAATTGTAAAGATTATGCGGTTATTTTTATATTTTCAAATTTCAAGTTTTCAGTTTTCGAAGTTTACAAATTGTCTAAATAGCTTTTTTTTAATTGTATTACAATAACTAATTTAAAATATAATTTTCGTGCTTCCTACAGTTTTTGACTGCACTTTATTTGTACGTACTGTACATGTTTAGTATTCGTTTATAAGTTTTCAATATGATTTTACATATATTTAATTTATTAAAAATCGAACTTAATTGCCTTAATTTTATTTGTTTAAAATTCTTGTTAAATAAGTGAGTATTTAGCGCGAGTTGCCACCACTTTTTATTGATAACTTTTAAAAGAAATGTTTAAAAGTTATTATAAATTTATTACTTTTTTATTGTAATTTTTAAATTTAAAATAATAATTTGTTTTTTAAACTAATTTTTAATTACGAACTAATTTCCTGTAATATTGATGTATATACATATATATCAGAGAACATGTTTTTAATTACAAAAACATGTAGTAAATACAAAAACAAAAAAAGTAAATAGTAAAATAAAAATTAAAACTTACTACCACATTAAACGAAATGTATTGTTGTTTTGCTTGTTTTTGTTTTAAGGGGGTATTCTAGTCTAGGCATGAATTTCAGGTAATTTTTGAATTGCCATAAAACAAAGGCAATTAATATTTTTGTTATAAAGTTTTTTACAAGTTAACTATTAACATTATATGAAAGCAAGAAAAATATCAAAAAAATTCAAAAAAAAATAAAAATAAAAATTTCAAAAATTTGCTGCGGATAAAGTGAGGGGTTTCAAAAAAAAGCGCACGCACCCATACCCATGATTTCAAACCTCTTAGCTAACTGAAACCAAAAAAAAGAACAATTATTATTAAACTGCAATAATGCCGCAATGTCTGGAACTACGAAAAAGTTGGAAGAAAATTTTTTACGAAATGGCGACTGTATGAAAAAAAAAATTATTTTGACTATTTCGAATTTTTTAAAAATTAGCCGAAAATAACTTGAATTTTGAAAAATCTTCTTGTGGCGATATTTTTGAATAACTAAACTTTGAAAATATATAAAAAAAAATTTTTTTAATTTTAGACTAGGGTATCGCCTTAAGAATGATAATTTCAAAAATTCAAGGGTAGTAGTTAGATAGTATCTAATAGGGTTAATCATAGAGCAGTACAGCGCTGCGAAGCAAATTAAAAAGGTAATTTCAGTTTGCAATATTTACAGTTATACATTTTAATTAATAATAAAAAAATTAAAAAGGTAATTTCAGTTTACAATATTTACAGTTATACATTTTAATTAATTCTTCGCATTTACAGCGTGCTGTGTCAATCGGAGAGAAGCCATTGAAGTAACGCACATTCAACTATGGCACAAAATATAGAAACAACAGCAATCACTTATAACAGTACAGAAACGTATATAAAAAATTTCAAAAAGTTAGTCACATATTTTTTATATATGCATTCAAGATCAAATTTAACCCGGACAGGTGCATTTGAACTGCGTACGCAAACTGCAACGCTAAAAAAAAATTTTACGGATTGATACAACCTTTATTTGATGTTCGCGTTAGGGGGTTACAGGGGTTTCATCGCACCTATTTTCAACAATTTTTTTTCGCAAATAATAATAATAAAATTAAATATTTTATTCAAACTTTTTTTGTTATTTCAAAATACATATTTTACAAAAAATTTTCAAAACTTGGTAATTATGACGTCATTTCCGGCAGTACCCCGGAAAAAAGGTGCCTCCACGTTGAAAGCAGAACTTTTTACAAGATCATGCGAAGTAAAAAGAAGAAAATGCGTGTTTTAATTTAGAACACAAACTAGTTGTTGAACTTCATATGTAAATTATTGTGTGTTCACAACACAAAAATTTTGTCTAGCGATATGCAGCTGTCCGGTTCATATTTGATCATGAGCGTTTAAGCATATACATATATACACTGCATACTTACATGCTTTCTGGTCACTTTTAGCGCACAACAAAAACATTTTTTTAGAAAAAATGCAACATTTATTTGATAATTAAAATAAAATGCATGTTATCGAAATATCGAAATATGAACTTATTTGTAGAAATTTATATATAATTAGTTACATATGTTCATTACACAAAAGTTATCAACTGGCGAAAATAATGTTTAACAAAAATGTTCACGTTAAAAAAAGCTAAAATTTCCATCGTCAAAGTGAAACAGTTTACATAAAATATTATTTGCGCTTTACTTCAAAAATAATACGGCGTTGCGAGTGAAACGCTGTTAGTCGCTCTGTATATCAATCTTGTGTCACATTTTACTTAGCGTAGCTATTTCTGGTTATATGCGCCAACATTCATCATTGCGTTTACTTTGATTTTCTTTTCCTTTTTTGTTTTTGCTTTAATATCATTTGTATGTTTTGAAAATGCTGCTATGCATTATTTTGTATGTATGTATGTATGTGAATATTTTGTAAATATATTTGCGGACTCGCTATCCACGCTCTTTCTTTCTCTCTCTCTCTTTCTGTATACATATTTATTAGGGTGGCGCGGAAAAAAATGTTTGTTTTTGCTTAGCCTGAGGGAAAATTTGTAGATTATAAAAAAAAATTTTTTTTGGAACTCTTTTTTTTTTTTAACATCTAGAGACTTTTAAGTAAATTTCGAGTTAAAATTTTTTGGGACAAAAATAGTTTTTTTTTGTTTTAAACTCTTCACATTTAAATAAAAATTAACGAATTTTACGGTTTTTGAGTCAAAATTTATTTTAACGCTTAAGGAAAGCATGTTGCCGTATAAGACTTTTTTTTTAAACTCCAATAATAACCACACAATTTTTTTTTAAGTTGATAAATTTTAATTGGTCAGAAAGAGAACTCTCCACGGCTGCTAGAACAATTATCCAAATTTTTTTACGAATTAAAAATTTTAACTCGAAATCTACTTTAAAAATGAAAAATTGTCGGCTAGATGTTAAGAAAAATATGTTTTTTCTAAACTTTTCTTTTTTTGTAATCTACAAATTTGACACTCAGGCTAAGCAAAACAAAAACATTTTTTTTTCGCTCCACCCTAATATTTATAAACTTTATATTTGTTTGTTTGCAATATCCTTTTGTAAATATAATTTGATTTAACTCTAGTGGTTACTGTGCCCTGTGGGCGTGTCAGCTGTACCTATAGTTAAAATATTTGTGTTACTCATTCTATATATCTATATACATATATATATATACTATATTTAAATTTTCTCATAATTTTTGGCGTTTGTAGTATTATATTTCCATTTTGTATTTTGATTTTGCGCTGAGCGTAGTTTAGTTTGCATTTGCGGTTTATCATGTTTCTTAAACGCGTGTTTCGAGTTAGTGTTAGCTGTTTTAAAAAAAGAGAGGCCTAGCGCTAGACTAAACGTTTACTACATGCATGCTTGACGCTGCCTACTTTTAGGCGCTTTAACTCATGCGGTTGCTAACGGCAAGCTTTTTAGCAAAAAAAGAAAGAAAAAAACACTGCTAAATTTTTGCACAGCAATAATTTGTAGGCAAGTAATTTCTAACTGTAGTTGTTACCTTTAGCGCAGTGCTTAGTGTTGTGAAACACTTATTATTATATTTATTATATTAATACTATATAGGAGCTTTCAGTTGAATTTTCGCAACGAGCAAGCATATTCGAAAGATTTCATCTCATTTTAGCTACAATGCTTACAGTAAAAGCTAACGGCTTATGTACAAAAAGAAGTATAAAATATGTGCTGTCACAGTACAGTCACTGGCCGCAAATTGGAAGCAACTAACAATAGCTAACATATGCTTAGCGCTACAAAAATCTGCTTTTTCGAATTTAATTGAAATCATCGGCTTTGCGGTCTCATCGACTGCGCTGTTTACAGCTACTGCGCTCTGCTCACTTCGCCAAACATCATAAGTTCATAAACGCTTAGCAGCGTTTGCTCAATTCCTTAATTTGTAATTTCAGTTAAATTAGTTTATTGGGCTAAAACACATGCATGCATTTTCTAGCGCACTTCCAGCGCGAGACGTTGCGTTTCCGGCTCACTGACGCCCCACTTCTGTGGCGTAAATCGTTGGCGCCTTTCGTTTTGTCGTCATAAATATTTGTGTAGGCATTTTTTTGCTAGACATCACACATTTGTTCTGCACACGCGCACATGTAGTTAAAGATAAGAGCAGAGTGGAAGAAACAATAACACAAACAACAAATGATTAAATATTTTAAACACATTTATATAGAATTGTGGTTAAAGCGTACAATTGAAGGCGTGAGAAGCGTTCGAATATTTGAAAAAGCGTGTAATTATTAATATGCCGGGTACTGTATATGATGAGTAGCGCTTTTAAGCGCGCTTGACGCACAATATAGTTATGGGAGCTTTTGAAAAGCGTTAAAGCGTTAGTAAAAAGTTTACAAAAAATCTTAACAGAGATTTAGCAAAAATCTGTAAAAATATTTATACTAATTTTTTAAACATGCAAATTGAAAATATAAATTTTTGAAAAAATGCAAAATATTTTTATATGTGGAGTAGCATTTTTGGTAATATGACTTTGTAACTGTTACTTTTGCATACGCAACAAGAAATGTTGTTTAAATTAAATTTAAAAAAATAAATAAAATTAATCAAAAGATGAAAATGAAATAGGAAAACTACTGTCAGAGCTTACTTATGTTATCTTGTACTGTTCTATGCGTTTTTACTGCAAATTACGTGCGTTGCATGCCCATACACTGCTTGGTTTTTACGCTGCTAGCGCTTAGTTTCAGTTGTTCCGGGTGTCTAGTCTAAATTTATGAACTCTTGAAACGTTTTTACTATAAATTATATACAATGAACTCTTGAAATACTCTTCCATAAACTATAAACATAACAGTTTCTGAACTCCTGAAACACTTTTCCATAAACTACAAGTATAAAGATGTCACATTATAAATTCTTGTATTATTTTGCTATAAACTAGTGCAGTTTTCGTAGATTTTTTTCTGCTTATAGTAACGTCATTATTTAGCAAATAGCATATACAAGTATGCTACATAACATATAACGGTGTCTGTTGCGCCACATGCAAACAATCGAATTTCGTAGATGACGAGTTTGCTTGATTTATTTTAAATTTGTAAATTTTTTTTAGATTTTCTACGCGTTATTTCATTCAGCTCTTTGAGGCGTCTGCAATGCTCAAACGGTTTATGGCGAAATGTATTTATACAAAATGTTGTGTTGTTATTATAGCTTCTTTTTAATTTAAGATGCACTAAAATTTCATTCAGCTGGTCTAGCAACTACAATTCTCAGCAGTTTTATAGTAAGTTAAATCAAAATTATAAATGAAATAGTGCTGCCAATTTTCAGTGTTACACAAATGTATTTTGGTTTCGAATACACTTATTTAAAGAATATTTAAATAAAACGAGTATAATAGAAACAAGCTTATAAATAAATAGAAATAATATATATAAATAAATACAAATAATATATTAATACAAAGTGTAATACAAAATATAGAGAAATGAGTTAGAAGCGCTGCTTTTCCAGCATAACCTGCCTTGCATATTATTTTATATATAATAACTATATATACGAGTATGCAGTTGGAAAAATTTATTCACGTGCGTTTTACAGAATAAAATGCGGGAATATATATTATATATAAATATTTACACTAAATATTAAACAACTTTTAATTTTTTTTTTGTAAAAATTTGCCAATTTTTAAAATTTTTTTTAAATTCTACAAAGAAAAAAATTTAATTCTATTAATGCAATATGTGATTTATCTAAATTTCTCAAACTTTTATATATTTTTTGCAGTTTTTTAAATATAAATAAAATTTTTTTTTTTCAATTTTCTCAATATTAATTTTCAAAAAATAATTTTCTGAGTTTTTTAAATATAAATTTGAAAAATAAAATTTTTTGAGTTTTCTAAATATAAATTTTCAAAATTTAATTTCTCTAGTGTTTTCTAAATTTCGCCCAATTTAGCATATTTCTTTAGTTAACTAATATGTTTTATATACAGTTTTTTTAAATTTTTTTATGGAAACCTAAATTTTGTTGCGTTTAGGATATGTTGATATCTCTGTTTGCGTTTTCGTGTAGCCGAATAAGTGCTTTATACAAAATTTACAAAAACTAAACAGTACGAATTTGAGTGCGCTTTCGCCTGAATAGTTATGAGTTGGTAGCGGGGGCTGGGCGCTGAACTACATTTATGTGTGACTAAATATGTATATTGAGCTACAATAGATGTGGTGTAAAGGTTGGGTCAGCAAGCAGCGGAGTGAAGGGCTTGCAAAGGGTAATTGACATTAGTCACAGCATTTTAGGCGCAAAAGCGTTTGGCTTAAAGCAAGAACTACTTAAAAGCTACTAAGTATTTGCATGTTAACTACTAAATATTTCATAGTTGCGGTTGCACAATTCATGATTACACAAGTGGGGGAGGTGTTGTTGGTGGTGATGGTGGTTGGGGTAGGGCATAAGGCGTAAGGCGGTACAACTACTGCTCTGACAACTCAAATACAACTGACTCGGGTGGTACGGTTGACGCTGGCGGTACTCTTAGTACCTTTTGGCCGCCAAAGCACAGCGTCAAAAGCCAACTGCCGCCGGTGCTGCTACCGCTTCCGCTGCCAGTGTTGCTCTGAGCGCGTGTGGTATGTATGCCAATGTTGTTGTTATTATTATGATTGCTAACGCGTCGCTGCTGTCGGTACGTGCTGCCGCTGCTGAGACGTCGCGCCGGTATGTGCACGGTGTTGGCGGCGCTGTAACGGCGACCATTCAGGCGGCGTGTGGTGGGCGATTGATCGTTTCTGTAGGCAACAGTAAGCAAAGAGAGTGAGAACGGAAATGACAAAGGAACAATTGTGTGAGTGAATGCATTAGCGTGGATTTAGAGAGAGATAGAGTGGCAGAGAGCAGCTCCACTGAGTGGTTGGCTTACCTTTTGCCATCCTGTGGCGTGCCACCGGCTTGGCCCTCGGTGTCGGGTGCAGTGTTGTAAGCGCCAGAGAACATAGAGGCACGTTTGGGCACCCATTCGGGGTGGCCCCGTACGGACATGTAGACGGCGAGGCTTTTTAGTAGAACGGTGCGCACCTGTTGGTAGAAAGAGTGTAGCATATATGAATTATGAGTACTTCGGTATTAGTTTTGGCAAGAGCGGGTTGAATAGCTTGCGTTGGTACTCACCTCACCATTTAGGAAGCAATATATCAAGGCAATGAAAAATCCCTGAAATGAGGTTAGGAAATGCGTCACGTAGGACCACATGGCGAATTTCCATGGTGGCTTCAGGTTCAATGCAGGTACTTGGTACAGTAGATTTGTGATGCCCAATAGCGGCAGCAGTACAATGGCGGCGCGTACCGCTTTGCGCGTCTGTTCGATATCGCTGGCTTGACTCTGGCGCAATTTCATCACCAGCACGCGTATGATGTTCATTAGGAAGAAGAAGTTGAGCTGTGCGGTAAAAAAAAAGTTGGAGTTTGTTAAAGTATTAATGTATTGATTAGTGAAGCATACACACCGATATGACAATAAAACGTGGTCCTTCCAATATCCAATAGTACGGCGTCAAATTGTAGTTCCATAAGCAGTCATGCGCGCTGTCCGTATACATCGCGGTACATATGGCCCAGACGGTGGTCATCAGTACGGGCAGACCCCAGCCGAGTAGCGAGAAAATCTTATGCGGAAATCGACCTTGAAACACGGCGACCGTCACCATATTGTGCAGGTATAGACCCTCGATGAACATCCACATGAACATGGCGGTGCGAGCGTACTCTAGGAGCACGTAGGAAGCCTCGCAGAGGTAGGGCTAGAATGAGTAGAGATCGCATTACTTGGAGTAAGTGAATATAACTATCAAAGCTTTCGCGAAAAGCGCTTTTAATAGCTTATGTTCACGTTAAAAGCTCAACAAAAGCTTTAAAGGCAAAGTTACGTAGTCGTTCAACGCTTTTAGATTTAAAAGCTTTTAAAGTGTAAAAATAGCTTTTTAATGGTTGTGGAAGCTTTCAGCGCGAACTTTTAAATAAGAAGTGATTTTGAAGTGACACTTCGTAAGCTTCCTTCTCATAATTTCACAGTGAGCTTTTAAATAAGAAGTGCTTTTGAAGTGCTACTTCGTGAGCCTCTCTCACATACCGTGTTTTCAATTCCCGCTGTGCTCGTATTCGACGTGGCTGGTTGACTGCCACGCCGAAACGCCTGATCGAGATACAGTGTCAGTCGTATGATCACTTGACAGACCATTGCGATGAAGAGGTTCTTGTGAATTTTCGTGCGATTATTTCGTAGCGAAGAGAATTTACAGAATATAATGAGCGAGAGTATCAGCGCGATCAGCGACAATATGAGTCCGACAATCTCCAGCGTGCGCGTGCGTCGTGCGATGTCCAAGAAGATCTGTGGGTTAAATTTTAAGCAATTAACGTATATTTTGAGTGAATATTTAATGCTTGCAGCGTGACGCACATCAATATCATCCACACGCTGCAACATGTCGTTCACTTCCGGCTTGAAGCAGGGCTGATAGTCCGTCCAGCCGCTCGTGTTGTTTTGCGTATCATTCGGACGGCGGCCCCAGCTACCGTCCAGCTCGCATTTGCGGTTCGCGAACTCTGTATGGAGAGAAGAAATGCCAAATTGAAACGCTAAATATATTTTCAAGATCAAATAAAATTTTTAATTTGCTGACTTGAGACAAAAAATAATATTTTGCTTAAATGCATGCACAGTTAAACGCTTTCGCAATCGTTTCGCAAATGTTCACACTCCGCAACGAAAGTGTCTCTGCTCATTTTCCACTCATTGGCCACCCATTTGCCACTTTGTGATGATAATGAAAGTTTAAATTTGAAACTCAAAGGTTTAAAAATAGCGACCGCAAACCTTCGGCCACAAATGCAATTAAGTTAAAATTCCAACACATTTGCACTGTGTTGCATGAATAAATCAAGCGAAATTACGCACAGCCTTGCAACCAGTATTGGGGTGGCGTGCCACGTGAGGAGTCGTGTGGCAGGCGTACTGCCGTTTGGCGTTTGCTGTTTGGCGCTTGTTGTTATTGTTGGTGTTGGTGGCGTTGTAGGCGGCAATTATAATGAGTTGAAAGTGTGTAAGGCAAATGGAAAAACATTTTAATGTATTTTACGTTAGCTCGCCACAGACGCGTTGTCATTGTATTTGCCTGTGTGTGTGTGTTTGGCTGCGTGCATTACACTGTTATTTTCATTAGTTTTTGTTGTTGTGTTTTCGCACTCGGTTGACTGGTGGCAAAAACAACAAAAATGCCGCAAGAGTTGCAACGAAAGCAATTGGTAGCGGAAACATAGCCGCAAGTACAACAACAAAAGGAGTTTCACATATGAATATGCCCACGGTTGCTTAGGTACATATATACTAAGGAACTTTTCTGACACTCACTTTCATAGATATTTGAAGATTTCTACAAGCTCTGTTTGCTAAGCTTGCCGTGTGCGAAATTTCAAACGAAAATTTTGTAAAACGCCACACTTATTAGCTGGCAGTTGAGTGCCGTCGGCGGTTTAGTACTGATTTTGTACACCAACTTTTTGCTCGCATTTCTGCCAAGAAATAAATATTAATTTAATTGCTCAGCAAATGCCTTTAAGCACGCCCTTCTCAGTGCCGAAAACCGTCTTGAAATCCAACAACAATTACCTGCGTTACTGGTGTTTAAGTACACACAGCGCCTGTGGATAGGCTTCAGTTTTTCGAAAGTTAATCACTTTTAGCTGAATTTCATAGAAATTTGCTGCTGCAAACGTTGGTTACATAAATGCACAAGTGTGTGTGTGTATTTTTTTTTTTGTAATATTTTATGGGAAGCATAACTGAGGTTGAAATATCTCGGTAATCTTGTCTTCGGCGAACCAGAGGACATAGCCGAAACTGATATAAGCCGTCTCAACAAGTTCGTGCTGGGCTCAAAGCGCTTCGTTGATCTGTAAGGGACTTCTGATCCACTATTTAGGGGTTTTAGGTAACATAATGGACTGGTATTCTAAGCTGTGCAAGTCAGAACCTTCTTAAGAGCTATCTCTTAAGCTAACCCTAACTTTATACCGAATTTTCGGTATTCATTTTAAAATTTCGAGATTAACTCGAAGCGTAATGGTTCATACAATATTCCACTTAACAAAAATTAAACAAAATCGATTATAAGCCGCGCCTTAAAGTCCAAGTTGCTTAGAAAACCTGCTTGAAAGTTTTTTTTTTTAATTTTTCATTAAAAATGATTGATTGATTGCTTATAAGCTGTCATGCTTTTGAGTTGTCCAATTGACTTCTGCTAACCACTAATCAAAACAAAATAAAAAAAAGCTTGTGTGCCACATTCAAATATTGAGGTTATACATAGAGGCATGCATACAACTGCTCGATGTCAGCGAGTAATTGGTTAATGTAAAGTGAGCAGTGAATGACAGAGCGTCTAATTTAACCGAAGGCTAACACGTAGTTGACTTGCTAAATAAAATGGGTCAGCATGCCACACACCTATACACCTATATATGTACACACATATACATACCAAAGCAGCATTGTATTGTTTACTTACTTGTTGTGTCAATGCCGTGGCCGACGGGCGGACAATGCATGCGCGCCAAAACGCCAGCCGGCGTCGGTGGCCAGCAAAGAAACAGATCCCAAGTCCAGTTGCAAAAAACACCTGTAAAATGAAATAGAAATGAGTGTTTGAAAGCAAATCAGTGAAAATCAATTTGAATTTTTTTCTTTTTTTTGTTGCAAACTATTTTAGCAGAAAAAATTGCGTTTGCACTTCAGCTTGATTGGCGCAGCTATTTTCATGCGAGCGCCGCCCATTAATTACGGTTTTTTTCGAAATACCAGTTTAATGCGTGCCTTGGCGCCTAATTAATGATTTAATTAATTCATTGGAAATATTAAAAGGAAAAAAAAATTCGAAATTATGTGGAAATTTCAGCCAAGCTGCACACACAACGCTGCTTAGAAGGCTTAACACGCCACAAGCTACGCCTATGCATGACTGCTGTTGTGTTGTTGTTGCTGCTGGTTTAATGCTAACTTTAGCTTTTTGTTATGCAAAACGCAATTTTTTTGCCATAAATATTGCATAAAGCGCAAATTAGCTGCAAGTTCATAGAAAATACACACACACATACAATTGCATATGGCATTTTGCGGCTGTGTGCGTGTGCAATGTAATGAAAGCTTAAAGCCACGCTGTATAGTTTATGTGTGTGTGTGAGTCAAGCTTCCATGCAATTTGATTTGGTCACTGTGGCAAGGCTTAATGCCGCTGCTAATCACTTCTAATACAAATTCTAAATAGATTAACAGCGTTGCATCATTGCAGAGTGAAATTAAGTCTTAATTATTTGCAGTTGTATTTATTTATATGTCATATACCCTCACACAAAAGTACATATGTGTGTGTGTGTGTTTGCATAAAAAGTGTATTTGTTGGAGTTGGCGTTGCGCACTAACCGATTATTTGAGTCTAATTAAAATATGGTTTTGAGGATTAAAACTTAATTGTAACAAAATAAATTCTTTGGGAAATATTTTTTGTTAATACAAAAGCATTAATTATAGTAAAATGGAAATTAATAAATAATAAAATATTTATCAACGTAGGTTTGGTTAAAAGTTTCTGCCAACAATTTTAAATTTATTATTTTTGGAAGCTGACTAACGAAGCTTTAAGCGGCTATATTCACTTGCAAGTAAAAAAATTGCATTTTTGTGATTTTTTTTTGAAGAGGCATTTTATTTTATAAATAAATGAAAATAAAGCAAATTTGCAGAACTTAAGTACTTTAAAAATTTTAGAATTCCTTTGCCGTTATAAAGGGAAACCTCTGAAAAGCGTTGTCTGGCGCTGTTGAAGATTTTTCTGCTTAAAAGTAACTCAAATCCATAAACAAACAAAATGCGTTATGCTATTAGATGAATGCAGGTAATGATCGAAATTCTAATTCAAATTTAAATTTTTGAAAATATTGCGGCTTCCCAAAAAAAAAAAATTTTTTTTTCGATTTATGTGAAAAAATTTACAATTCAGAGTGGCTTAAAATGAAATTTTGAAGAAATTGATTTTTGTCGTATTTCATTAGTTTATAGCTTCAAAAATAATACACTTAAATTTCAAATCGATATCTCAAACAGTTTCAGCGTTACAGCTATTTAAAAGGTAGCTGCTCAGTTCAATTCGGTGCAAGATTATTTTTAAACCTGTTTTACTACAAACAACTCGAAGACAAATGAAATGAGCATCATTCAAATTTTTTCTGTCTGTTCTGTATATAATTCTACATATAATGACAAAATAAATAAATATATTTTTCGATAAATCGATAAATCGATTTTACGATAATCGATTTTTCGATAAAAAATATCTGAACAACAATCGAACTTTGGCAGGCCAAAAAAATTTGAGGTACAATTAAAAACGCCGATATTTTGTCATTTAAAAATAATTTTTTTTTGATCGTGGGTCATTGTACGGAGAATATTTTTTAGGTCAGAATAACTGCAGCAGTGGAGGCGCTTTTGTTTGCGCCGTGGAAGATCTTGTGTAACTCAAAAAATATTAAATTTTTTTTGCAAACATTTTACTGTGTATTCTTGAAACATGTTTAAATATAACCTGAAACCATAATCCATATAGAATTTTTTTTTGTGGTTTACATTCCAAAAAATATACCCTTCCTTAAAAGATTTAATTTACTATTAAAATTTTAATCTTTCGAACATTACGAAATATATTTAAAAGGGTTTTGTAAAAAATTTCTAGTTCAACTGAGAAGTTTTACGAAAAACGCGTTTAAAGTTTTGAGAGCCAAATTCACTAAGATGAGCTTACAAATGCGCTCATATCTCCCAAACTATTTGGCGGTTAATATTCAAATTTTCGGAGCTTAATTTTAAATATATGTGCGTGCGATATATAAACAAAAACAATTAATTTTTGGAGATACAAAAGTGGTTATGAGCCTTTAAAGTCGAATTACGCCTGCAGGTATGCTTCTCTTTTATTTTTACACAAAATAAGTTTATTTATAGAGTTCAAAAAGCTAGCTAAGTTTTAAAATACTGCTCAAATAAGCGCTAATTCTTAATTACACCAAAAATTTTAACGCCAACTTTAACTAAAATGAATTTAAGTGCAAATTTCGCACACTATTAACCTTTCGAATTTCCAAGTACTTTTTTTGTAATTTTGCACAAAGCTTTCGTTGCGCTACTTTTTGTCCTTGAACCCACACAATTCAATTCCAAATCGATTTGGTTGCTCATTTATGCGCATACATATGTTCCGCTGCCTACGCCCGCTAACTGTTACATAACTAAAAGTAACTAAAACACATTACACAATCGCCTAGGCGAAAGGCGCGCATGATTCGGCTTATTTACACAATCAAAAATTGAATTCAATGATTTGATTGAAATTTGTAATTTTTTTTTGGAAAAACAAAAAGCTTGCGGTGCATTAGCTTTGAGGTTATGGCAGCTCATATGTGTGCGCCATATATTTTCATGGATTTTATTACTGCTGCTGCACAGCGCTGGTCAGCGATGATGAAAATATGCTAAAAATAAACAAGTTGCAAATATATTTAGCCTGCGACCGGTGTGGCACGTCATGCATAGCATTGCAAAATAAACACACACACACACACATACAGTTACATGCTATTTGCGTATTGCCAGCACATCAGCATAATCATTTGCTTCGTTTGTGCCCCTGTGTGCCGCCGCTCACATTTTCTGCTTTGTTGCATGAATGAGGCACGGACCTGGCAGTCATGTCCTCCGCGCGTCTTTGTGTGTGCGCGTGTGTGAGTGGCAGGAAGGAACAAGCTTTTCCAAGTCTCAACTCAATAGCGCTGACATTGTATTATGACACGCACGTGCATGTGTGTGTGTGTTTGTGTGACCGTGCCTCAGCAGCTAGATTTCTTGTGCATTCTGATTTTATTATCTTTACTATTTCCTGCTCGTGTGCATTCTTTTTCTTCGCTCTTGATTTATACGCATATTTGCTGTGCACTTTCTTGAGAATTCGTGCAACGTGCATACACACACACACACCGAGACACTGCGTTGCTTGCTGAGGTCTTGACATGCATTTGTCATCTTGGGTTTATCAGGTTTGCTGGCTTCTAAATTCATATGCGCTGCGCTGTTGCGCGTTTGGACATGTGTAAATAGTTACATGTTGCATGTGTGTGTGTGTACATATGCGCTTGTTTGATTTATGTAATCTCCATAATCAAAGTGTGGTTTATATAATCTGTACGCTTTTGCTTGTCTGCGTGGTCAAAGCATTAAATTTTCGAATTTCCCTTAAAGCCAGCAAATGTTTATGCAACTAAGAAGTAATTTCGTTAGTTAAACGTGCGTGCGGCACGTGCCACATACATATTAGTTGCAGGTGTTGTGGCTGGATTTAAAGCAAATTGGAAGCTTTCATGGCGTGAAATTGAGTCTCAACTATTAACAAGTTTTTTGGTTGCTGGATGCCTTGAGAAGCTTTGCTTTCAATTGAAGGGGTTTTAGTTAAAAGAAGAAAGACGTTAACTACGGCAGCATTGAAGCCATAATACCCTTCACAGTTGCATTTTGTATAGTATAGCGATATAACAAGATCTTTATCTTGATTTTGATTGGTCAGTTTATATGACAGCTATATGCTACAGCACTCCGATCTAAACAATATCTACAGATATTTCAATATTGTCTTGGAAAATAATCCACGCCAAATTTCGGGAAGATATCTCATAAAATGACAAAGTTTTCCATACAAGCACTAGATTCCGATCGTTCAGTTTGTATGGCAGGTATATGCTATAGTAGTCCGATCTAAACAATTTCTTCGAAAATTGCATAAATGTCTGTGATAATAATTGAAGCAAAAATTCGTGACAATATCTTCTCAAATAAAATAGTTTTCCAAACAAGCACTTGATTACTATCGGTTAATTTATATGACAGCTATATGCTATTGTGCTCCGATATCGGCGGTTACGACAAATAAGCTGCTTATTGGTAAGAAAAGGACGTGTGCAAAATTTCTGCTCGATATCTCAAAAACTGCTTGTCCTTCGTCTATATATACTATGTAGGGTCTCCTTTCCTTTCCGATTCCGTTTCGATGTTACAAACTTCGTGGTAAAGTTAATATACACTGTTCAGGGTATACAAATGTGAGGGTCAGTATTTTACTCAAATTTCTCGGCATCTTAGAAGCAGGGAATTCAATTTTATAAAATTCAGGGTGTAAATATGATGTTATTTGACGTGTCTTGGAAGTTCAGAGCTACAAATATGCGGATTGTGTTCTTAGGCCAGCTGTAAGACCAGCTTATTTTTAGTGTGGTATTTTTCTGGGCAGTCATTTCGCTTGATTTTTGCAATTACATTAGTTGCTTTCACTCAATTCTCCAATAAAAAGTGTTGCATAATGTAGAACACCTACATGTGCTGCCCACAAAACCAATATGATATGAAGACAATCAGTGATGACACAACGTCAACGGTCAGTTGTAAAAATGAAATTTTCAAGCGAGAAACAGAAAACGTTACGACCACAAATGATTGGAAGAGCGACAGTGGGAGCGCGCGCTGTGGTAGCCGTGTCACCAACAGCAAATTGTATTGCCATGTACTCTGAGAGCGCTAAGAATATTATGATACGACGGCAGCGATAAAAATAGTGCGATTGCGAAAAGCTTATAAATAGTAAGCAAAAGTCAGGACTTCTTTTCATGGCAACAATTGACTACCTATTAGGGTGGAGCGAAAAAAAAATTTTTTTGGCTTAGCCTGAGGGTGAAATTTGTAGACTATAAGAAAGAAAATTTTTTGAAAAAAAAAAAAAATTTAACACCTAGAGGCTGACTTTTAAAATAAATTCCGAGTTAAAATTTTTTTTGGACAACAAAAATTTTTTTTTGGTTTAAACTCTTCACATTTATATAAAAATTACCAAATTTGTCGATGTTTGACTCAAAATTTATTTTAACGCTTAAGGAAAGCATGTTGTCATTTAAGACTTTTTTTAATACTCCAATAATAACCACAACAAATTTTGGCCAGAAAGAGGACCCACCACAGCTTCTAGAACACTTATCAAAAATTTTTTACGAAATAAAAATTTTAGCTCGAAAATTGACTTTAAAAGTGGGCCGCCTCTGGATGTTAAGTTTTGTTCCCAAAATGTTTCTTTTTATATAATCTATATATTTTACCCTCAGGCTAAGAAAAAAAAAATTCGCTCCACCCTAATACTTATTGTGGTAACCACTTGACTTTTGCGCAACGCGCACCCACACAATCTGAAACTGCACGGCATTGCATGCAACACTGCAATTAACAATTCTATGTCAGCGCTCGTGCATTCAAAAATGAAATAAATATGCAAGACAGACAATGATTGTGACTCTACCGCTGGGCAAACAAGCGCACAAACCACAAAAACGTTAAGAAAAAGCGACATACCGTTATGTGTGTTTTCAGTTTGCTTTCTTCATAGAAATTACCGAGAAAAACTCAGCACCACTTTGTCTGCCGGGCATTTCCCGCGCGACTGCTAGTTTTGCCTTGCTAGCACCGTGCCACAAAAGTGGAGCACGTTGGCGGAGTTCAATGACATGTTTTTCTTGCTGTTGTTGCCAGTCATTACGCTGTCAGCGCGATGCGCTTTGATAAATGTGCACTGGCCATGCCATTTGCAATCACTAGCTCGTGGCTCGTCCACTTCATACCGTCAGCAAACACTTGTGGCACATTGGCTACCTGCTACAAGTTGCGCTATTAGCGCATTGCGTCGTTACGTTTTTAGTTGCCACTCATTACGTTTACGCCACTGACTTTATTATTTGGGTCAGTGCATTTAGAAATGTCTATGCAATCAAGGATATCCGACTGCCTGACAGTAATTTGCCACTGTCACTCGAGTTTGTGGCGTGTTGTTGTTGTCATTTGCTGCCTATTATTTACGATATTTACAATTGATTGCAAAAACATATGCAAATGCGATTAAAGTCATAATTGTCACAAAGAGTACGACTGCCTGTTTTCAAAGTCCAATTCTGTAACGCATTGCAAATGTGGCAAGCTGCTGGCGTTGCCTGCAGTCTTGCTGACCTCGGCAGACTATGCTAGTATATAATAGAATTATATTTAAGTTTGCTGTCATATAGATGTATGTGTGAGCACTGTAAAATGCGGCCTGCAACTCTAATGCCGCTATCAAATGAGCTTGCCACATATTGCATCAACGTGCCTGCCTTAATGGCAGCACCTCTCCTTGCAAAATCCTGCACGTATTCATATGCTTTCAACTTTTGCTTGAAATATTCACCTGCTTCCCTCCCCTACCGCTCTTACGTGCACCACAAGCTACATTCATGCAACGACAGCCTTCAAAGTCGCCTTTCAGTTGACTTGTTTAGTGCAGAGACTGATAAAGTTGATGTGTCAAATGCAATTTCTGTGCAACGACGCGTGCGAGTATGCAACACACTACAAAAAGCACCGGCCGTAGCTTACAAAAGTAACAAAAAATGGTCACCTAAGTTGGCAGTTCGGTAGCACATTCTTGCTAGCGCCTTTGTTGCAGAGCTGTAAATGATAGAAAATGTTACAAAATAAGTTGGGCTGCTTGCATTTGCAAAACTGCGCCGCTCTGTGGCAGACAATTGGCATGCAAGTAGTTGGCACATTTTACTCCACACTCAAAGAGTGAAAGCTCAGTTGCGCTGTGAGTCGTCAATCGGAAATTAAATCACGCCAACGTTTGTGGCATTGTCTGCCTTGATTTGTGCGTGTTGCATGCCACATTTGATTTGCATATGCAACAACTGGCCAGACAAGTGGCAAACTGATACGCAGCAGCAGACAACGCTCACGATTACGGCTCAGCTTGTAGTGCTGGCGAGGCGAGGTCCTCTGGTAGGCATCCGGTGTTGCTGCCACATGCGCCATCATTCCAGTCGTTCGCTTGGTAGCCTATGATTGTGAGTAACGCAAATATATATATCATAGTTTCAATATGAGCGTCTGTGTGTGTCTAACTGTACTGTATGCAAGCGGTCAGTTCAACTGCCAAACGTCCGCTGCTAATGCCATTAAAGCATTCAAGCGGTTGCAACATTTCTAATGCGTCTACTGAGTCCCCACATTGCCAGTCAAATACAATGTTTTCAATTAACAGTCTGCAATTGTTGTTGCCGCTGCTCGACAACTCAAATGCAATTTCCCTTCAACTTCATTACAGTTCCCTTCTACTTGCTCTATTTGCACACCATCTCAGGCTCGTTTGTTACCTGTGCAAATAGCGCGCCAAGTTGCAGCCGAAATGTTGCTCTCGAAATCGACAGTTAACAGTTATGCCGATGCCATCGCGTCCGGTCCAATAACTTTACTAATTCTTGTGCTAAAAAACTTAATTGCTGCCGACAACTTGCTGAGCTGTTGACAACACCGCCAGTGCAAAAGTTTAGTTCTGACAAATAGGGTGTCTGTTTACACAGTTCATAATTGTTATTTACATCTTTGAGGTTAGGTGTTGCATAGCGGAAAGAGCTTGGTTTGCTTCGGATATCGCGAGCAACAGCAATTAATACAACAAATACGACAAATACCTAGCAGACATTAAGTATAGAGTTTAAGGCGGCTTTGGGGTGGCTAGAGTGAGGCTTAGGAAAGGTTTAGCTGGCTACAGCTGCCTTACACCGAACGAGTATCCGGCTCGGGTCAGGTTCTGAACTTTCTTTTCAGTTTTCTAAATAAGTAGATGAGGTTGTCATATGAATAAAAGTGCCATCTTAAAAGTATATACGAGGTCTAAATTCGCACATACCAGTCGTTCTTTCATGGCGCCTAAACACAGTACAAATAAAAGTGCGCGCCGTCAGTAGTTGTTGTGGTCATTTGTGATTTTCAAAGCAATTTGATTTATCTCTGACGACAAGCGTTTCATCAATTAAAATCATGCGTCAAATGCATGAATGCGCTGAATAGCATAAAACAAGTTGCTAAATGAAAAACTAAGCGTCCAAATGTGCGTCAGTAAAAGTGTGAACGTGTGTGACTAATCAGAGCAGCAGCCACAGAGCGTCAAAATCATAGTAAACTGTCATTGTTGACAAACAGCCGGCTGTTTGTTGTATGTGTGGACGTAGACGCAAACCTTATATATGTGCATGAATAATCGTTTGCACGGACAGCCTTGCATTGACGCCGCGCGCCTACGCCCAGCAATTCGCCCAAAAATTGATTTAATAGTGACCATAAACACAACAAAATTACAATTGCGACAACAAGCGCGTTCAACCGCTTACACTGACACAAACACATACATATTTAAGCATTGTGGCAAGCTGTGTCAGCTGTTATTATTACCGCCTCTTATTTTATTATCCCGTGGCTACTTACCATTCTGCGGCTGCGTGTATTGGCGAAGAGCGCCGCGCAGTCCTCGAAGCTGCGTATGGCGACCTGATGTGGCAGGTAGGTGACATTGGGCGAGTGGTCAAAACGATGCTGCTAGGCGCCGCGCTCGCGCCACTCCGCTCGTCGACAGCGTTCGCGACAGTGTCGAGTTCAGCAGTTCGGTGGCATAGGTCGCGGCGGAGGCTGATATGGACGCGGTTGCATTGCCAACACCGTTGCTGCGCGCGTTGCATTCGCGGACGCGCTGAGTGGCGCTTGCAGCAATGTTTTGGCGGTGGCGAGCAGCGTAGCGCTCACACTTTGAGACGTCGTCGGCAAATCATTGCTGCCAATTTGTGCTCAGCGGCATTGCTGATGAGACTGTGCAACTGCTGTTTGTGCTGTGCGCTGACGCTCACTGGCAGCTGCTGCTGTTGTTGTCGTTGTGGTGGCGGCGGCCGCATAGCCTTGCGGTTCGGTGATATTTTGAAAGTATGTGTACAAAACGCGCGTCACATTTGAACCTACTGTAGTGATGGTGGCGCCTCAAATGCCGCTATGCTTGTGTTACGGTTGTCGTCAGCGTCGATGTGGTTTGTTGTCGTCGATTAAAGCGCTCAATAATTTATTGTTTGCGCGTGACTATCGAAATTTGCCCGCGCGCGCTTCCGGCCATCCGCTATCGCGCTGTATGGGGTTAATAGGGCGAGCTGTGCGGAAGCAAGGTTGTAAACTGCCGCTCGTCACTGCTGTCAGTTTTGCCATTCAACGCTGGTTACAGTGCATTGATATCCGCTTCGCGTTTCGGATATTGTCATTGTCAGCTCTCATCCCAGTGGCTCATATGCGACTGTCACTCAATACTTTAAATGCACGCTTTTCTCGTTTGTTTGTGCTCGTTGGTGGTTAAACGTTGCATGTAGGTGTGTGCGTGTGACAGTGGCGCACTGTGTGGTCGCTTTTTATTTGTTTTTGTAGCTGTTGCAATATTTATCAATTTCTTTTTCCTTTGCTTTGCTGGTTACATTCCCTTCGTTGCTTGTTGGAATGCTCACAGAGCGTTTACTTTGTCGCGCCGTTTATAGCCGCTCTTCCACGCCGCGCTGTTCCGCTTTTCTGCAATTTAAATGTGTAAATGTGAGGGGAAATTTAATTTAATTTCAGTTAACGAATCTTCTTATTTACACAAAATGCTTTCTGTTTGAAAATAATCATTTGCAAGTGAATTAAAATCATTTAATTTCAAGAGTTGAAAGTTTGGTAACAATTGGTAATTTTCATGTGTAAAGAACCTATCTACTTAGTTACAATAGATTCCTCACATTTCTAGTTTAATTTGATTGCTTTTCAAAAACACCATTTGTTTAAATAATATAGTATGCTTTCGGGCGTTTTAACTTTTAACATACTTTCGAATTATACTTTTCGAAAAGATGGCTGCAAAAGCTGCTGAAACAGAAACTGGAACGGTCTTCTTCTGTAGTAATCCGTACATAGAAGGCAGCTTCAAACTAAATGACTGCAATCAGTCTTTCAAGCCGAAAATGTGGCCGCAACAGCAGGTGCCAAGATCAAAAAGGCCCTTCTTCCAGGCAAAAGGAGTTTAGTAACATTGCAGGGGTTATCGAAGGGTACCTACTCTTAAGATTTCACCTTGAGAAATGTGAAAAAGGGATCGGCGGAATGCAGGGCATGCACGTAGGATGATGAGACGCTGGAACATTACCTATGTGAATGGACATTCACAATTCAATGGGCAGCCTTCAGCCGGATAAAAGGGATATATTCCACGGCTCCCAATGTTACACTTAAGCGACATTGGGCAACTAGGTGGAGAGATCAGGTTTTTTACCGAATCCACGGAGTGGCTGGCTAAAGCTTAATTGGTTACCTTCCAAGTGCACAATGAGCCTAATCATAGCCTAAGTGCGGCCGTCTACGGTCTGGCGCTCATGCGCTTCACTTCAACCAAACAAAGCAGTTGATACCTGTAGTCGCTCTGATTAGTCTGAGGATTGGAAGAGAGCTGATGCTACTATGTGGCATTGGCTTAAATTATGTGACTGATGTGAACTGCGTTACAAAAACCTTACGAACTCGTGGTTCGAGACTGGCTGCAGAAAATTCAGGCTGGTTAGTTTGGTCTGAACTGATAAGATAGGGTTCTATACAGAGATCAAGTGGTCTTTAAAAAATTACTGCTAAAAAACAAGCGAATTGCATTCAGAACTGAACTGAGATACTGTAGCTGGCTGACGAGACTGCTTCAGGTTTGGAACTCTCATGAAAGCATGGTCATACTTAGATTGTACCCCAGACAGTAGACAACCACCAAATTTCTCGTTCAGCTGCGGAACTCGAGATGATGAAACAAAAAGAGGTAACTACTGGATTTCTTGCAGAAATATTACGGAAACCCTTATGTGGAAAGCGGTTAGGTGTACAGTCACTTGTTGAAAGAAAAACGCAATGAGTTTCGCACACTTTCGTTTGACTTAATAGGTATGCTCACTAATGAGTTGCGGACAGTATTTAATTCAAGGTCAAATACTGGTGAAGGGTGGGTTCGCCGATCACATTGAGCTACTTTTCCATGTAAATACCATGTTATTTGCTCTGCTTGATTGCAAATATTCGCATGCTTGCCTCAAGATTTTCATTACAATGGAGCAGACAGCGATTCTTGAAGTTCTGCGAAGCACTGCTGCAAATTTGCCTTCAACACACGCAAGAGCATGCTAAGGAGTGAAAGTCACAGACACCTACACACGAACATGCAATATGCTTACATAACGGTAAGCACACTCGAACGCTTTCCACACATTTGAGTATATATGCAACAATACACCCTACTCAACGTATCCAACTAAGCAGAGTGTTTGTGTGTGTGTTCGTCTGGTGTTGGTGCATCCGGTTTGTTGCGCAATAAATAACTTTCAACGCACATTTACTATCAACATGAGAATTTGTTTGCTTGTTGTGAGCGTTTAATGATTAAACAATCAAGCCAACAACAATAACAAAAACACATTATCAACAAACACGCCAAACTGTTCGCCTGGGCTATTGCAGCCGAACGCTGGCGAAGCGGCATACCAAATCAATTGTTGCACGACCAACACCAATGAGAAATGACCGCATTTGTATATATGTGTGTGTGTGTGTATGGTGTGCCTGTTTATTCGCTGGAGAGTTCCGACGCTGCAGCAGCCAGCAAACAAAGCGAATTTGCGGTAAAAGTTTCAATTCAATAAGTTCACGTCTATTTTTCATGTTGGCCACAATGCAACAAATGCTGTATGAACAACAGCAACAACAACAACAATAGCTATGTAACATTAAGCTTCGTCGCTGGCTAGCCAACACTCGTCGGTTACTTGGCAATGGAGCGCCTTGACATTGAATGGTTTAGCTACCACAACACACACACACAAACACGCTCACAAATAGCGATTGAAAGCGAAGAGATTGAGCAAGCATGCAGCTAGACGACAAGCAACGTGCCACAATGAAGGTGAAAGCACATGTAACTGCCCTTCAGTGGTGGCAACATAAGCAGCACTTGTGCAGCAAACAAGCGAAAGGATAATTGCTTCAGAAGACATTATAACCGCTATCGAGAGCACTCACACGATTTACAAGTTGCCGAGCGCTGTGCGTGCGTGTGTGCACGCATTGGTTGCGTCTTCAACGTCAAGGACGCAAATTGGCGCTTGAATGTGAAGAATGGCAAAACAACGTGACGACGGCTTGCAGGCGTGTGTGTTGCGTACAAAGTAAACGAGTTGCTGCTAAGTGCTATTGAGTGGTATAAGCTTGTATGTTGCATGTAGTATGATTGTGTAGCAACTTGCAACAAGCAGTGGCATGCACGAGCACACACAGTAATAATGTGCTGCATGCAGCAGCGTAACAAATAGCAAATAACAAAAGCGAAAGACAAATTAGCAAAGCGTTGGCATGTTGCCCGTGTTGCAAGTAAGCGCAAATTAATTGCGTAGCTGCTGCAACTAGAAAGACACTGAAGCATAACAATTAATAAAATATTTTGTGAAAAAGGCAAGCAATTAGGCGTAACTAGCAGCTGGCATGCTACAACAACGCGCTGGATTAAAGTTGTGCACAGCAACAGGCGGCGGCGCTGCAGCCAGGCGTTGTTCAATTAGGGGGGAAAGTGAGCGCTTGTACGGCGACAGACGCAAAGTGAAAAGACATTTCAAGCATTTCCACAATTTTGCAATACGCGCTAGTTGCGACCTTTTGCTGTGGGCGCCGCTAAGCGGCAGTGGCAGCATATATTTTTGCATTTTGCTTCTACAATAGTTCTTACATGGCAAACTTGCAAATTGTCTACTAAGTGCAGATATGAGAAAAGTTTCGATTTAAGTGAAATGACGGCAAGTTTTGCGCGAAAAAGTGTTGTGCAAATAAATAGTTGCAAAATAGAAATTTATTGCGCTTGCTTCAATAAAAACTTAAACAGCACAAAATGTGTAGTTTGTAGCGAAGCTTAGTGAAAATACAAGCGCTGAAGTGACGTTTTAGAACTTGACTGCTTTGTAACTGCTTATTCTGATCAGCGCTGTGGTTGCCGACTAAACGCACAGCCTGCACTGAAAGCGCCCAACAAACGCGCTGCGCTACCTAAAGTAGACGCCAATAAGGCAAAACAAAAATGCGATTTTTCGTGTGGCGCCACGTGAAAGCTCTGCTGAAAATAGCTGATGGGCATATCATCATTCATCATACACATCAGCTACATATGTGAACAGGCGCGTGTCCCTAAGCATACAACGCGCGGCGGTTTAAATAAATTCCGCAGTGTTTCAAGCGATTTGTTGAAAGATTTGCGCTGCGCGCCTGTAAACGCCTTGAGTGCTGAGAAACGCTGAAATGTCAACAACAATTTAATTAACTACGCTTTATTCTGCTGAAATTTACGCGAAATATAAACGCGGCGCGTAAAAGCCAGCGCCCACAGTGGTTTAGCGGCTATGTTATGTTTTGAGTTATCTTGCGTGTAATGTGAAGAATTTCAAAAAAGTCTGCGTGGTTTTAAATGCCCAAAAATGAAATTGGCTTTCGCCAAGGTAACCAATATGCTCGTACACCCAAAAGAGTGAGCGAATGTTATTTACATTATATATGGTAAGTACCCTTGAGTCCGCTTATCCACTGACTGCAAAACAATATTTGCGGCGCTTACATACACTTACATGCATACATTCCTGCAGCCACGACGCCATTACGCTCGCAGCGCAGCCATTGGAGCTTATGCAACACTTGCTTTTATTGGCAGAGCAGATTTTTTTTTACAGATATACATATGTGTGTTGTATGTATGTTTTTTTTAATATATTTTTTTGAAATTTTTTTTTATGTAATTGTATTTATGTATGTATATGTGCATGTTTATCTGCTATACACATTTAGTAAGTCACAAACAACGCATTGTGGCAAGGTCAGTTGGCATGTGGCGCGCTCACTCAGCATGTTGTGCGGCATAAATGATTGTTGCAATGTTTGCGTCTGCCACAGCCGTTCACTTGCTATTGTTTCATTTCCAGCGTTGTTGCATGCCACATTACAGTGCATTGTGGCACACGTAGTTAGCAGCTAAACGCATTCGCAACCTCATATGCTGAAAAGGCGGCGATGAGCGGCTGTTTGCATCAGATAACACCGGCCAGTCTGCCGACGGCCGTTGTAGTTGCAGCTAAGCGCAGACACGCACACACACATGCGCACAAATAGCATACGCATAG